TTAAAGTCAAAGAATATCTCACATACCAGGCAATATGAAGTAAATGTTATAGAGTGACTGATACAAAGCTATTTAGTAACCTAAACAAAATATAAATCTGTCAACAACCTGGAGGCATCTGTTGTAGAGTGTAGAAAGAGCTCACATGTCCAGGAAAGCTGGCAATATTTTTATAAACAGTGGAGAACTGTTGGACAGTAACATCAACAGAAGTCCGGTCGCTTATATGAGAAACCCACCGCAAGAGAAAGCAAGGTAACTATAATAACGCATTACAGAAACTCACCACAGGAGAGAGCAAGGTAACTATAACAACACATCACAGAAACCCACCACAGGAGAGAGCAAGGTAACTATAAAAACACATCACAGAAACCCACCACAGGAGAGAGCAAGGTAACTATAATAACACATCTAAGAAACCCACCATAGGAGAGAGCAAGGTAACTATAATAAATCATCACAGAAACCCACCACAGGAGAGAGCAAGGTAACTATAATAACACATTACAGAAACCCACCACAGGATAGAGTAAGGTAACTATAATAACTCATCACAGAAACCAACCACAGGAGAGAGCAAGGTAACTATAATAACGCATTACAGAAACCCACCACAGGAGAGAGGAAGGTAACTATAATAAGGCATTACAGAAACCCACCATAGGAGAAAGCAACCCACCATAGGAGAAAGCAAGGTAACTATAATAACACATCACAGAAACCCACCACAGGAGAGAGCAAGGTAACTATAATAACACATCACAGAAACCCACCACAGGATAGAGTAAGGTAACTATAATAACTCATCACAGAAACCAACCACAGGAGAGAGCAAGGTAACTATAATAACGCATCACAGAAACCTGACACAGGAGAAAGCAAGGTAACTATAATAAGGCATTACAGAAACCCACCATAGGAGAAAGCAAGGTAACTATAATAACGCATCACAGAAACCTGACACAGGAGAAAGCAAGGTAACTATAATAAGGCATTACAGAAACCCACCATAGGAGAAAGCAAGGTAACTATAAAAACACATCACAGAAACCTGACACAGGAGAAAGCAAGGTAACTATAATAACGCATTACAGAAACCCACCATAGGAGAGAGCAAGGTAACTATAATAACTCATCACAGAAACCCACCACAGGAGAGAGCAAGGTAACTATAATAATTCATCACAGAAACCCACCACAGGAGAGAGCAAGGTAACTATAATAACGCATTCCAGAAACCCACCATAGGAGAGAACAAGGTAACTATAATAACTCATCATAGAAACCCACCACAGGGGAGAGAGCAAGGTAACTATAATAACTCATCACAGAAACCAACCACAGGAGAGAGCAAGGTAACTATAATAACACATCACAGAAACCTGACACAGGAGAAAGCAAGGTAACTATAATAACACATTACAGAAACCCACCATAGGAAAGAGAGCAAGGTAACTATAATAACTCATCACAGAAACCCACCACAGGAGAGAACAAGGTAACTATAATAATAACACATCACAGAAACCCACCACAGGAGAGAGCAAGGTAACTATAATAACACATCACAGAACCCCACCACAGGAGAGAGCAAGGTAACTATAATAACACATCACAGAAACCTGACACAGGAGAAAGCAAGGAAACTATAATAACACATTACAGAAACCCACCATAGGAAAGAGAGCAAGGTAACTATAATAACTCATCACAGAAGCCCACCACAGGAGAGAGCAAGGTAACTATAAAAATACATCACAGAAACCCACCACAGGAGAGAGCAAGCTTAAGGTAACTATAATAACACATCAATAGAAAAAATAAATGATAACAGTGTAATACTAGCATAGAGGTTAAATTTCAGTATCAGTTTGATATCATTCTTTATCGTATACTTTTCTGTGGTATTGATTGTTTTGCATGTGTGATACTGCTAGCGGTGAATGGGTCATATCCTGGATTGACCAATATTGTCCTGCACATGTCATTATCTGCTAAGATTGTGTCATATCTTCCTGGGAACATGCCATCTTTTTTTCACCTTCAGTTTAACACATTTGAACTTCTCACCTTAATTACACATCATTTGCCTGTAAAGGAGAGCAGTATAAGATTTATTTAGTTGAAGTACAGAATAGGGTGCACAAAGCATATCCTTCTGTCAAGCTGTTCACTGTATTTTGCCATCTTCATAGGATCATGGCTTTTGGGAGGAATTTAAATTCTGATAATATATTCAACTTTTGTTGTAAAGGAGATAAGATGTTGAAAATGAAACGTTTATTGTTGCTATGTTCTTTTATTTGTATTATTATTTTTATGTTATGCTAAAATTTTGTTAGTGTATTTGATAAAAAGGTAATGATATGACCATTTCCATAGCCTACCTCTAAATATATGATTGTAGTGTTTCTGTTTATCACTGTCAGATACAAGTACAATGTCGACAAGAACATGACAGTACTCAAGATGTTGGATGCTGAAGGCAAGGACATAGGAATGATCAGGTGATTAATCAAAATACAAAATTACACAAAGTCTTTCATTAGAATATATTCCCTCTAAACTGTATTGTTAAGTGATCCTAAGATTATGAGGATCAACATGTTTACTCTAAAAGGGTCTGAACCACAGAGGAGGGCTGTCTAGTGAAGCCACTAGGGGGTCACTTGGTGCAAAACTTTCAAAAATATCTCCTCCGAAAGTTACTGGTGGATTTAAACCAACATTTCATAAAATGATCCATAGATGGTGGAGATGAGAATCTATACTCAGGAAAGTGGCTGTCCCTCATCTCCTACACATTTGTATGAGTAAGACCGGGAGTGGACAGCTTTGACTACCATAAACTAAAGATAAGTTCGTTATATAATAATAGACTGTATCTGATCTTTGTTTATATCTAACTAGTTTCGGATTTTTACAGCTGGTTTGCAGTGCATTGCACAAGTATGAACAACACTAATGGATTGGTGAGCAGTGATAACAAGGGGTATGCTTCTCAGCTGATGGAAAAAACCTTCAACAAGGACTTTCCTGGCAGTGTATGTAGTCCTCAATACATAATTGTATCTCCCCTTCTAAAGAGGTGCAAATTGTATCAGTACGGCTTCTTCTGGTTATTCTTATAACATCTTGACCAGGCTGTAACTTTTGAACCATTACAAAATATCTTCACCAGTCTTTAAGTATACCTGTATCACCAAAGAAAGATGTAATGTGTGCTTTAATGGGCTCCTGGTTAGGCAGGTGACTTCACCTCTAGGTCAAAGGTAAAATAATGACAAAAGTATCTGTGAAATCTTGTTTGAGCTGAAGATATGTGGATGACACTAGTATGTAGTATTCATCACCCATTTATAGGTGTGTATACTGTATATAGGTCACTGTAACCTTTACCTCTAGATCAGGCAAAGTAAGCGCAAAGAAAATATGCATTTTGGCGAATGATTTTATTCGTGAAAGCAAATCTTCAATTATATGTATGAGATTGTTGGGCAGGTATACCAAATGATTGACAGTTATAGACCGTCACTCACTCTGTTAAATGTGCTGCTGTGCTGCTAAGTCTGTTTTTGTAACAAGACTTCACAGATACCTGATACAGTAATCATAATGGCTACTAAGTATTTTGTTCTGTTTGTATAACTGTTGGGTACATGACAAAGTAAATGTTAAAATATCTGTGTCCTATGTTTCTTCCACTGTTACATGTGCGATGACAGTGGGTGTACATAAAGCTTCTGCTTGTTTCAGGGTACATTTGTAGCTGCCTTTGCACAAGCCAATGAAGGAGACGTGTCCCCAAACACTGCTGGACCAAAATGTCTCGACACAGGGAATCCCTGTGATAATGCCACAAGTACCTGTAATGGCAGAGTGAGTACCTAGAATGAACAATAAATAACTAGTGTAGAGAATGAAAAAAGGATGGAGTTTTTAAACAGTGATGTATGACTTATCTTAAGAATGAACAAATGTGATTTATTTACAGAATGAACAAATGTGATTTATTTACAGAATGAACAAATGTGATTTATTTACAGAATGAACAAATGTGATTTATTTACAGAATGAACAAATGTGATTTATTTACAGAATGAACAAATGTGATTTATTTACAGAATGAACAAATGTGATTTATTTACAGAATGAACAAATGTGATTTATTTACAGAATGAACAAATGTGATTTATTTACAGAATGAACAAATGTGATTTATTTACAGAATGAACAAATGTGACTTATTTACAGAATGAACAAATGTGATTTATTTACAGAATGAACAAATGTGACTTATTTACAGAATGAACATGTGTGATTTATTTACAGAATGAACATGTGTGACTTATTATGTCTCCCTTTCAAATGAAGGGAGACATATTGTATTAGTTCTGGTTATTCTTCTTCTTCTGGTTCTTCTTATCGAACTTGTCCGGGCCATAACTTTTAAACTGTAAAAGAAATCTTGATGAAACTTTAGGTATGCATGTATCACCCACAGGAGGTGTGCAGTGCACTGGAATGAGGTCACTGTGACCTTCGTCAGAGGTCAAATAAGTGCACACCTTCAGTAAATTATTGTCCGGTCCGTAAGTTTCAAACTGTTTAAGATATCTTGATCAAGCTTGCACTGAATCTGCATCACCCACAGAAGGTGTGCAGTGCAATAGAATTAGGTCTCATGCTTCACTCTATACAGAGGTATGGCCCTTTGTTTAATTTTAATGCAGAAGTTTATCCGAAGCATAAGTTGCATGTTATTTCACCTACGTTGACCAAACTTGCTGAAGTTTTACTGTATCTTGGGAAGTAGGAGTGTCGCATTCGAAATTCAGGTCTCGTGCCCCACTCTATAAAATGATATGGGCCTTTGTTAATTTTTTATAGCAGAGTTTATTTTATATGGCTAATAAGGGGAGACATGTTTTTGTTTACAAAAACAAAATTCTAGTTTACAGAATGAACAAGTGTGACTTATTTACAGAATGAACAAGTATGACTTATTTACAGATTGAATATGTATGACTTATTTACAGAATGAACAAGTGTGACTTATTTACAGAATGAACAAATGTGACTTATTTACAGAATGAATATGTATGACTTATTTACAGAATGAACAAATGTGATTTATTTAATTTACAGAATGAACAATGTGTAGCATTTGGACCAGGGAAGAACATGTTTGAAAGTACAAAAATTATAGGGAATAACCAATACACGAAAGCTATGGAGCTGTACCATGCAGCCACCATCAAGTTATCAGGACCAGTAGACTTCAGGCACTCCTATGTAGATATGACAAATGTTGAAGTACAACTCAACTCAACAACCAAGGTCGGTACACATTACACTCAATCAGTACACATAAAACTGTACACAGGGTAAATCGAGATGAGGGGGCTCAAAGACTCTCGCACATCTATGACCAATTATTAAACAAAGCGTAGCTGAATCGAGTCATTTCGGTACATGTATAATAACTATTGTACATACGCCTACAGTGTAGCCGAAATCAACATCAATTTTGTGGAAAACTTGTACACATTTTACACCTTTGTGTGCATACGCTTCATTGGTCATTTGTCTGATGAAGGTGACAGTGTACATATTGTACTTGTCATCGAAACGTCACATAGAAAATGTTAATGGTTGTATAAAAAAAGAACTTTTCATAAACTGTACACCGTTTCTGTACTCAGACTGACTGTCAGTATACTTGTGCTGTGGTGCAGTGTTGGTCAGACTGACTGTCAGGATACTTGTGCTGTGGTGTAGTGTTGGTCAGACTGACTGTTAGGATACTTGTGCCGTGGTGTAGTGTTGGTCAGACTGACTGTCAGGATACTTGTGCTGTGCTGCCGTGTTGGTCAGACTGACTGTCAGTACACTTGTGCTGTGGTGTAGTGTTGATCAGACTGACTGACAGTATACTTGTGCTGTGGTGTAGAGTTGGGCAGACTGACTGTCAGTATACTTGTGCTGTGGGGAAGTGTTGGTCAGACTGACTGTTAGGATACTTGTGCTGTGGTGCAGTGGTTGTCAGACTGACTGTCAGGATACTTGTGCTGTGGTGTAGTGTTGGTCAGACTGACTGTTAGTATACTTGTGCTGTGGTGAAGTGTTGGTCAGACTGACTGTCAGGATACTTGTGCTGTGGTGCAGTGTTGGTCAGTCTGACTGTCAGTATACTTGTGCTGTGGTGAAGTGTTGGTCAGACTGACTTTTGTCTTCTGTCAACTTTCCTTTAACAGATACTAGTCCAGAATGGCTGAAGGGATTTTGATCGAAAGATTGTTGGACCAAGGGGACAAATACATTGTATAATTGAGTATAAAATTAGCAAGTGGCTGGTGACCATTAAGGCCTGTGGGCTCTTGTTTCAAAATAATGAAAGAACAGAGTCAAAACCAGATATTGACCTTGCTGCATATATTTGAATTGGTAGCATTCCTAAAAGGTATAGACAGGTTCAAGAAAAGTGTTGTGCACTATATTTAGCGAACGTGATCAACTTCATCAGGATGTATTTATGGACTGTGGAAACTGTTATAACTTATTCTTGTGTTGTACAAGAAACAGTAGATCCCATTTCTGACATTATGTTATCAAATTTTCTTATTTTGTTGATAAACTGTAGATTTTCAGTCAAGTCTCACTAATGTGATAACCTTTATGTTTACAGGTAAAGACGTGTAAAACCGCCATGGGATACAGTTTTGCAGCAGGAACAACAGATGGACCAGGAGCATTTAATTTCAACCAAAGTAAGTCATTAGTGAAATGGTATCACTGGGTAATAATTTGTTACCTGTGAATTGGGACCCAATATGGGAAACTGGGATTAATCTTTTAAATACAGCTTATCAAATACAGGTGAAGGGAGTTTTACATATTTTGATTAAATTTTGTAAGAATGCAAAATGTGGCCCCACTGGCCTCAAAAACATTATAGTTTCGTCTCTATGGCAGATAACAAAAACAGGTGAGCAATACAGGCCTTTTGAACCCCATTGTTTTAATTCACAGGTTCCACAAGTGGAAATGCTTTCTGGAATGCTATTGTGAATTTCATCAAAGCACCTTCCCAGGAGCAAGTTCGCTGTCACCATCCAAAACCAATCTTACTGGATACAGGGGAGGTATGTGACTACCGTAGCCGCTGTCAAAGTGGTTACAAGAGAATGATTTTCAGTCGTATAGGTTTGAACTATGTCAGTCCTCATGATTTCACTGGGTATTGTTACCTTAACCTAATTAAGTTTCTACTGCACCACAATGACTAATCTGGTTATTTGCGCCTTAAGGTAAGATTTGCTTGGTCAGTCCCTAATATAGGGGAGCACACTTGACGTAATCTGAGGCTAAACATCAATATAAATTTTGACCTTAACGCCACTAATTAAGACGGGCAATGCTGAAACATGAAATAATAAAATAAACCTTATTGTATATGATGATATATAATAGACCTAATCACATCTCTCTGTCATCAGTACAGGTAGTATGCTGATAGGGAGGATATGTAATAGACCTAACCACATCCCTCTATCATCAGTACAGGAGATATAAATGACCTAATCACATCCCTCTGTCATAAGTACAGGTTGTATGCTGGTAAACCATAGACAAGCTCACTATTAAACTGATTATCAAATGTGTGGTGTTTTACAGATCAGCTTCCCTTATGCCTGGCAGCCATCTATAGTGGATGTTCAGATTCTGAGGATTGGACAGCTAGCTATACTGGCTGTTCCAGCTGAATTCACGTAAGGAATTGAAACAGAGAGCAAGTATTTCTGTGAAATATTGACCTCTCTGTCCTGTCTTTTTGACTGTTGATCTCTTTACGACCCTTTCTCTGTAGACTGTTGACCTCTATGACTTGTCTATGTAGACTGTTGGCCTCTATGACTTGTCTATTTAGACTGTTGACCTCTATGACATGTCTATGTAGACTGTTGACCTATATGACTCGTCTATGTAGACTTGACCTCTATGACTTATCTATGTAGTCTGTTGACCTCTATGACTTGTCTATGTAGACTTGACCTCTATGACTTGTCTATGTAGACTGTTGACCTTTATGACTTGTCTATGTATACTTGACCTCTATGACTTGTCTATGTAGACTGTTGACCTTTATGACATGTCTATGTAGACTGTTGACCTCTATGACTCGTCTATGTAGACTTGACCTCTATGACGTGTCTATGTAGACTTGACCTCTATGACTTGTCTCTGTAGACTGTTGACCTCTATAACTTGTCTTTGTAGACTGTTCTCCTCTATTACTTGTCTTTGTAGTCTTGACCTCTATGACTTTTCTATGTATACTTGACCTCTATGACTTGTCTTTGTAGACTGTTGACCTCTTTGACTTGTCTATTTAGACTGTTGACCTCTATGACTTGTCTATGTAGACTGTTGACCTCTATGACTTGTCTATTTAGACTGTTGACCTCTATGACATGTCTATGTAGACTGTTGACCTTTATGACTTGTCTATGTAGACTGTTGGCCTTTATGACATGTCTATGTAGACTGTTGACCTTTATGACTTGTCTATGTAGACTGTTGACCTCTATAACTTGTCTTTGTAGACTGTTGACCTCTATGACATGTCTATGTAGACTTGACCTCTATGACTTGTCTATGTAGACTGTTGACCTCTGGTACTTATTTATGTAATCTTATCTGTTTAGATTATTTACCAGCCTTGAAATATCTTTATTTCTTATTGGTATTATGCCATAATGTTCCTTGAATGATAGCATGAAATGAAAAAAACTGTATTCTACATACAATACTTATTTATTATTTGTCCTCTGATTCTACTAAAGCGTCAAAAACGTTATTTTTTTGTAGAACCATGTCTGGTAGGAGGACAAGAGATGCAGTTACGGCAGTAAGTTACTAGCCCTCTATGACACACAGCTTCTGTTACAGTAATATTTTACTGGCCTCGCTTTGACATACAGAACCTATTGCAGGAGTGTTATTATACCCCAGTAACGAAGTTAGTGGGGGTATAGTGAAATCACCCTGTCTGGATGTCTGTCTGTCTGTCTGCCGTCCACAGTAACTTGTCCGGAAAACTCCTCCTTAACTAACAGGTGGATTTCATTGAAACTTTGCATGAATGATCAGTATCTCATGTACCGTGCACCGCCATTTTTATTTGGGATTTTGACCCTTTTTGATGGAGTAATGCCCCTTTGTGTGAAATATTTGTCCTTGCAACTCCTCCTTCACTAACAGGTGGATTTCATTGAAACTTTGCATGAATGATTGGTATCTAATGCAGTTGTGCTCCAGCATTTTAATTTGGGATTTCAACCCTTTTAGGTGGAGTTATGCTTCTTTGTGTGAAATAATTGTTACTGGTGGGAGACTATATTGCTTTGCCTTAGTAAGCCTTTAGCTTACAGTTCTGGTTTATATAGGAGCTGGGTTATTAGTTATAGCCTTTAGCTTACAGTTCTAGTTGACACACAGGACTAGTTACATCAGTATGTTACTAGCCTCACTTTGACAAACAGAACCTGTTACAGGAGTAGGTTACTGGCCTCACTTTGACATACATAACCTATTACAGCAGTAAGTTACTGGCCTCACTCCAACACACAGAACCTATTACAGCAGTAGGTTACTGGTATCACTTTGACATGCATAACCTCTTACAGCAGTAGATTACTGGTATCACTTTGACATACATAACCTATTACAGCAGTAGATTACTGGTATCACTTTGACATGCATAACCTATTACAGCAGTAGATTACTGGTATCACTTTGACATGCATAACCTATTACAGCAGTAGATTACTGGTATCACTTTGACATGCATAACCTATTACAGCAGTAGATTACTGGTATCACTTTGACATGCATAACCTATTACAGCAGTAGATTACTGGTATCACTTTGACATGCATAACCTATTACAGCAGTAGATTACTGGTATCACTTTGACATGCATAACCTATTACAGCAGTAGATTACTGGTATCACTTTGACATGCATAACCTATTACAGCAGTAGATTACTGGTATCACTTTGACATGCATAACCTATTACAGCAGTAGATTACTGGTATCACTTTGACATGCATAACCTATTACAGCAGTAGATTACTGGTATCACTTTGACATGCATAACCTATTACAGCAGTAGATTACTGGTATCACTTTGACATGCATAACCTATTACAGCAGTAGATTACTGGTATCACTTTGACATGCATAACCTATTACAGCAGTAGATTACTGGTATCACTTTGACATGCATAACCTATTACAGCAGTAGATTACTGGTATCACTTTGACATGCATAACCTATTACAGCAGTAGATTACTGGTATCACTTTGACATGCATAACCTATTACAGCAGTAGATTACTGGTATCACTTTGACATGCATAACCTATTACAGCAGTAGATTACTGGTATCACTTTGACATGCATAACCTATTACAGCAGTAGATTACTGGTATCACTTTGACATGCATAACCTATTACAGCAGTAGATTACTGGTATCACTTTGACATGCATAACCTATTACAGCAGTAGATTACTGGTATCATTTTGACATACATAACCTATTACAGCAGTAGGTTACTGGCCTCACTCCAACACACAGAACCTATTACAGCAGTAGATTACTGGTATCATTTTGACATACATAACCTATTACAGCAGTAGGTTACTGGCCTCACTTTGACATACATAACCTATTACAGCAGTAGGTTACTGGCCTCACTTTGACATACATAACCTATTACAGCAGTAGGTTACTGGCCTCACTTTGACATACATAACCTATTACAGCAGTAGGTTACTGGCCTCACTTTGACATACATAACCTATTACAGCAGTAGGTTACTGGCCTCACTTTGACATACATAACCTATTACAGCAGTAGGTTACTGGTCTCACTTTGACATACATAACCTATTACAGCAGTAGGTTACTGGCCTCACTCCAACACACAGAACCTATTACAGCAGTAGGTTACTGGTATCACTTTGACATACATAACCTATTACAGCAGTAGATTACTGGTATCACTTTGACATACATAACCTATTACAGCAGTAGGTTACTGGCCTCACTCCAACACACAGAACCTATTACAGCAGTAGATTACTGGTATCATTTTGACATACATAACCTATTACAGCAGTAGGTTACTGGCCTCACTTTGACATACATAACCTATTACAGCAGTAGGTTACTGGCCTCACTTTGACATACATAACCTATTACAGCAGTAGGTTACTGGCCTCACTTTGACATACATAACCTATTACAGCAGTAGGTTACTGGCCTCACTCCAACACACAGAACCTATTACAGCAGTAGATTACTGGTATCATTTTGACATACATAACCTATTACAGCAGTAGGTTACTGGCCTCACTTTGACATACATAACCTATTACAGCAGTAGGTTACTGGTATCACTTTGACATACATAACCTATTACAGCAGTAGGTTACTGGTATCACTTTGACATACATAACCTATTACAGCAGTAGGTTACTGGCCTCACTTTGACATACATAACCTATTACAGCAGTAGGTTACTGGCCTCACTCCAACACACAGAACCTATTACAGCAGTAGATTACTGGTATCATTTTGACATACATAACCTATTACAGCAGTAGATTACTGGCCTCAATTTGACAGACAGGACCTATTATAGCAGTAGGTTACTGGCCTCAATTTGACAGACAGGACCTATTATAGCAGTAGGTTACTGGCCTCAATTTGACATACATAACCTATTACAGCAGTAGATTACTGGCCTCAATTTGACAGACAGGACCTATTATAGCAGAAGGTTACTGGCCTCAATTTGACATACATAACCTATTACAGCAGTAGGTAACTGGCCTCACTCCAACACACAGAACCTATTACAGCAGTAGATTACTGGTATCATTTTGACATACATAACCTATTACAGTAGTAGATTACTGGCCTCAATTTGACAGACAGGACCAATATAGCAGTAGGTTACTGGTCTCACTTTGACACACAGGACCTATTACAGCAGTAGATTACTGGTATCATTTTGACATACATAACCTAATAATTTGACAAATAGAATCTATTATAGCAGTAGGTTACTAGCTATGCAATGCATGTACAATATAACACGTCTTGTTTCTATTACAGGCACTTATACAGGGAGGGTTTCCTGCCAACACAGTATCAGTAATAGCTGGTCTGTCTAATGATTATGCTGATTATGTTACAACCTATGAAGAGTACCAGGTAAGACCACCTTCAAATATCTGAAACTTGTTCAAGATAAGTTGAAAATTTTAATGAAAATCATCTTTTACCAGTTGCAATGAAAATTTGATGGTTATAATAAAATAATGAGTGGGGATTCCTTTTACCACTCCTAGCCATTGTTATAAAGTTTTGTATTTTTTTTTTAATATGACATTTGATTTGAATCTATACATATTTTCAATTCACTTGGTATGAAGTGCTTGTGAGCTTAAGGGTTGTTGCAGCATCTTTCCTTTGACTGCCTTCTTCTTAAAGCTAAAAGACCTAGGGTTTGGATATTTGTCCAGTTTACCTTGACCTACTTTCAATTCAAGGCTGGTAGTTTGATCATGCCTGATATTTGGCCAGGAGGTGTACCTGGAATAGAGTGATATAAAGACTTCTCATAAAAATGGTTTTGACCTTCTATAAAGAACACAGGGGTCATAGGAGTTAAAAAATAGAGTTCAAGCAACATTTTCTAATTATAAGAAGGTCTGCACCAATGATAATTAGATATTATACTGTATGTACACCGTCTGTGCAAATCTTATTTTTCTAAAATGTTGTTAGGGCAAAGGGCAATTATAAGCACAGGTAGAGGTCAAAGGTCTTTAAAGCTGGAATGGGTAAAAAAACTGAAGAGTTCTCTTTGTAAGTTCGATCAGGCCCTATTTTCTAATATTTGGCTAGTAGGTGTATATCCTGATATTTGGCTAGTAGGTGTATATCCTGATATTTGGCTAAGGATATTTGGCTAGAAGGTGTATATCCTGATATTTGGCTAGAAGGTGTATATCCTAATATTTGGCTAGTAGGTGTATATTCTGATATTTGGCTAGTAGGTGTATATCCTGATATTTGGCTAGTAGGTGTATATCCTGATATTTGGCTAGAAGGTGTATATCCTGATATCTGGCTTATAGGTGTATATCATGATATTTGGCTTGTAGGTGTATATCCTGATATTTGGCTAGTAGGTGTATATCCTGATATTTGGCTAGTAGGTGTATATCCTGATATTTGGCTAGTACGTGTATATCCTGATATCTGGCTTGTAGGTGTATATCCTGATATTTGGCTTGTAGGTGTATATCATGATATTTGGCATGTAGGTTTATATCCTGATATTTGACTAGTAGGTGTACATGTATATCCTGCTATTTGGCTAGTAGGTGTATATCCTGATATTTGGTTAGTAGGTGTATATCCTGATATTTGGCTAGTAGGTATATATCCTGATATTTGGCTAGTAGGTGTATATCCTGATATTTGGTTAGTAGGTGTATATCCTGACATTTGGCTTGTAGGTGTATATCCTGATATTTGGCTAGTAGGTGTTTATTCTCATATTTGGCTAGTAGGTGTATATCCTGATATTTGGCTTGTAGGTGTATATCCTGCTATTTGGCTAGTAGGTGTATATCGTGATATTTGGCTAGTAGGTGTATATCCTGATATTTGGGTAGAAGGTGTATATCCTTATATCTGGCTTGTAGGTGTATATCATGATATTTGGCTTGTAGTTGTATATCCTGATATTTGGCTTGTAGGTGTACATGTATATCCTGCTATTTGGCTAGTAGGTGTATATCCTGCTACTTGGTTAGTAGGTGTATATCGTGATATTTGGCTAGTAGGTATATATCCTGATATTTGACTAGTAGGTGTACATGTATATCCTGATATTTGGTAAGTAGGTGTATATCCTGATATATGGCTAGCAGATGTATATCATGATATTTGGCTAGTAGGTTTATATCCTGATATTTGGCTTGTACGTGTACATGTATATCCTGCTATTTTGCTAGTAGGTGTACATGTATATCCCGATATTTGGCTAGTAGGTGTCTATCCTGATATTTGGGCAGAAGGGGTATATCCTTATATCTGGCTTGTAGGTGGATATCATGATATTTGGCTTGTAGGTGTACATGTATATCCTGATATTTGGATAGTAGGTGTATATCCTGACATTTGGCTTGTAGGTGTATATCCTGCTATTTGGCTAGTAGGCGTATATCCTGATATTTGGCCAGTAGGTGTATATCCTGATATATGGCTAGCAGATGTATATCATGATATTTGGCTAGTAAGTGTATATCCTGATATTTGGCTAGTAGGTGTACATGTATATCCTGATATTTGGCTAGTAGGTGTACATCCTGATATTTGGCTAGTAGGTGTATATCATGATATTTGGCTAGTAGGTGTATATCCTGATATTTGGCTAGTAGGTGGGTAGAAGGTGTATATCCTGATATCTGGCTAGTAGGTGTATAGCCTGATATTTGGCTAGTAAGTGTATATCCTGATATTCGGCTTGTAGGTATATATCCTGATATTTGACTAGTAGCTGTATATCCTGATATTTCGCTAGTAGGTGTATATCCTGATATCTGGCTAGTAGGTGTATATTCTGATATTTGGCTTGTTGGTGGATATCCTGATATTTGGCTTGTTGGTGGATATCCTGATATTTGGCCAGTAGGTGTATATCCTGTTATTTGGTAAGAAGGTGTATATCATGATATTTCGCTAGTAGGTGTATATCCTAAAATTTGGCTAGTAGGTGTAAATCCTGATATTTGGCTTTTAGGTGTATATCCTGATATCTGGCTTATAGGTGTATATCATGATATTTCGCTAGTAGGTATATATCCTGATATTTCGCTAGTAGGTGTATATCATGATATTTGGCTAGTAAGTGTATATCCTGATATTTCGCTAGTAGGTGTATATCCTAAAATTTGGCTAGTAGGTGTGTAGGTGTATATCCTGTTTTTTAGCTAGTAGGTGTATATCCTAAAATTTGGCTAGTAGGTGTATAGCCTGATATTTGGCTAGTATGTGTATATCCTGATATTTGCCTAGTAGGTGTATATCCTAAAATTTGGCTAGTAGGTGTGTAGGTGTATATCCTGTTATTTGGTAAGAAGGTGTATATCATGATATTTGGCTTGTTGTTGTATATCTTGATATTTGGCTTGGAGGTGGATATCCTGATATTTGGCTATTAGGTGTATATCCTGATATCTGGCTAGTAGGTGTATATCCTGAAATTTGGCTAGTAGGTGTGTAGGTGTATATCCTGCTATTTGGCTTGTAGGGGTATATCCTGATATTTGCCTAGTAGGTGTATATCCTGAAATTTGGCTAGTAGGTGTACATGTATATCCTCATATTTGGCTAGTAGGTGGGTAGAAGGTGTATATCCTGATATCTGGCTAGTAGGTGTATATCCTAAAATTTGGCTAGTAGGTGTGTAGGTGTATATCCTGATATTTGGCTAGTAGGTGTATATCCTGATATTTGGTTGGTAGGTATATATCCTGATATTTGGCTTGTAGGTGTATATCCTGATATTTGGCTTGTAGGTGTATATCCTGATATTTGGCTAGTAGGTGTATATCCTGATATTTGGCTTGTAGGTGCATATTAACAATAATCAAGTTATTTGTAAGCAAGAGTGAGAAAAATAAGAAAACGAAATCTGAAATAGAACATGTTAAACAGAAATATTGAAAATATCACAATAGTGATGATTAATTGTTGTTATATTTCAAGAGGTTGTAAGATAGCAATTCTAACAAACAGTGGACTTTTAATAGTATAACTTGAAGCGATAAATCATATATTTACAACAGCAACAACGATATGAAGGAGGATCAACTATATATGGACCACACACACTGAAGGCCTTCATACAGGAGCTTGTGACACTGGCCACAGCTATGTCAAAGGTAGGTCTTCATTCAGGACTTGTGGCATTTAACTAACCAACTCCCTGTCAAAGGTAGGTTTTCATACAGGAGCTTGTGGCATTTACCTAACCAACTCCCTGTCAAAGGTAGGTCTTCATACTGGACGTGTGGCATTTAACTAACCAACTCCCTGTCAAAGGTAGGTTTTCATACAGGAGCTTTTGACACTGGCCACAGCTATGTCAAAGGTAGGTCTTCATCCAGGATATTGTTACACTAGTCAACACTATGTCAAAGGTAGGTCTTCATACAGGATATTGTTACACTAGTTAACACTATGTCAAAGGTAGGTCTTCATTCATGAGATTTTTACACTAGTCAACACTATGTCAAAGGTAGGTCTTCATACTAGAGATTGTTACACTAGTCAACACTATGTCAAAGGTAGGTCTTCATACAGGATATTGTTACACTAGTCAACACTATGTCAAAGGTAGGTCTTCATACAGGAGATTGTTACACTAGTCAACACTATGTCAAAGGTAGGTCTTCATACAGGAGATTGTTACACTAGTCAACACTATGTCAAAGGTAGGTCTTCATACAGGAGATTGTTACACTAGTCAACACTATGTCAAAGGTAGGTCTTCATACAGGAGATTGTTACACTAGTCAACACTATGTCAAAGGTAGGTCTTCATACAGGAGATTGTTACACTAGTCAACACTATGTCAAAGGTAGGTCTTCATACAGGAGATTGTTACACTAGTCAACACTATGTCAAAGGTAGGTCTTCATACAGGAGATTGTTACACTAGTCAACACTATGTCAAAGGTAGGTCTTCATACAGGAGATTGTTACACTAGTCAACACTATGTCAAAGGTAGGTCTTCATACAGGAGATTGTTACACTAGTCAACACTATGTCAAAGGTAGGTCTTCATACTAGAGATTGTTACACTAGTCAACACTATGTCAAAGGTAGGTCTTCATACAGGAGATTGTTACACTAGTCAACACTATGTCAAAGGTAGGTCTTCATACTAGAGATTGTTACACTAGTCAACACTATGTCAAAGGTAGGTCTTCATACAGGAGATTGTTACACTAGTCAACACTATGTCAAAGGTAGGTCTTCATACTAGAGATTGTTACACTAGTCAACACTATGTCAAAGGTAGGTCTTCATACAGGAGATTGTTACACTAGTCAACACTATGTCAAAGGTAGGTCTTTATACAGGATATTGTTACACTAGTAACATGTAGTGCCATATGAAAGGTATAGGCCCTTTTACAGAATAATATTTACATTTGCACGGCATTGTCACTATATAGCCTCTTTGAAAGCTGTGTTGTTGATGGGACTTTAATTACCATGCAGCACGAGACACAATTCTTAGCGTATTAATACAACACTGATCGGAACTAAAATATCCAATGTAAATAAACATGACGGCTGCTGAAATATCGCTGGGCATTGTGAGTCTTGACAATATGTCATTGTAAATTTATGTGCAAAAGAAAAAAGGAAATAAAAAATACTTTTATTACAACAAAAACAAGACCAAGGTCTGCAAAAAACGCACATCGGTTGAAATCACCAATGCCGGCAATGGAAACAATTTTAACACTCGTGCAATTTATCGGAAATATCGTCTGTTACACTGTGCTGATCAACAGGGGTTCGTTACAAATGTCTGAAATACACATATTCTATAGACCTACTGACACATATGTTACAGACCTACTGATATGAGTCGCAGCACACATAAACATTTCAGACATTTGTAACGAACCCCTGTGCTCTGTCGCAAGATCACTCACTTCAAACGCTATCGGTTTCACGCATCTCGCAGCCACGGTTTCCCCAGCTGATCACGACATGTCAAATAACAAGACTGTTATAGAATCTACCGACTGTAGTCAGATTCCCATACAATCACATATTAATTCAAGTCTGGATTCTTCACAAAATGAGCAAAGAGAAACTTTCGAATTAACTTCCAAAAATAACTCCCTCGTGGAGGTCAAGGTCGGATTCACAGTGTTCATTGTATTTATCCATGTGTGAAATTTGTTCTGTGGAAAAATCTGAACAATTTAAAATCTAACCTACAGCTCAGATTTCTATTGATAAACTTAAATCACCCTATAGACATATCATACGTAATTGTATTGATACTGAATTGTGGAATAAAATTGAAGTGTGTGCTAGTACTTTGTTTGCCAATCAGCACGCGACAATACGCTGTTCAAATTATTGAACGAAATTGTGTGGACTGTCGATAAGGCGGGCATTTTTAATTTTAAATATAAATTATAAGTTAAAAAAGAACATAAGAGGAAGAGAAAACATAAATATAAGTATTGAACTGGTTTTGTATGGTATTTATGATCTATTTGAATGACACAGTTTTGCAAGCAAACAAATCATAATGTGCGCTATGTGCTTGCGCGCTATGTGCTAGCGCGCATTATGTTGATTGCTTGCAAAGCTGTGTCATTCAAATAGATCATAAATACCATACAAAAACAGTTCAATGCTTAATTGAGACTCTATCTAATGTGATGGCAAATTTCCATCTCCATTCAGGATATACTAACACTGTGCAATGCCATGGTGAAGGTAAGCCTTTTTATAGGAGAATGTGAAACTAGTGAAGGTAATGGCAAATGCAAGCCCTCAGAAATGTGTTTTAGACACAAGACACTAGCCAGTATCATGCAAGGATATATCTACTGACAAGAGCTTGTGACACTAGTGAAGATCCTGGCAATGACTTCGTCTTCTTCAACATTGGAAAACTTTATGTTTGACAGAGAAAGCCTTTGTTCTATTTAAAACGACCATTATATTGGTCAGGAAAGTCTTTGTTCTATTTAAAACGACCATTATATTGGTCAGGAAAGTCTTTGTTTGATGTAATGGTGGCAATTGTTTTGTTAATTTTAAGGGAGAGCCTGCATCCCCTGGACCAAACCCTCCCAATCTGGTCAGCCAAGAGTGGGGATTTGTGACTCCAGTTGTATATGATGGAGCACCAAGCGGATTTGGAACTCTCCTGCATGATATTCTTCCTTCCTATAAACAGGTAGTTATCTTAAATATAAGTACTCTATATTACCTGTAAACAGGTAGATATCTTAAATATAAGTACTCTATATTACCTGTAAACAGGTAGATATCTTTAATATAAGTAATCTATATTACCTGTAAACAGGTAGGTATCTTAAATATAAGTAATCTATATTACCTGTAAACAGGTAGGTATCTTAAATATAAGTAATCTATATTACCTGTAAACAGGTAGGTATACATCCTTAGCATCAGTAAACTGTATTACCATTACAGAAAATGTATCATTTGGCTGAAGTTTGTAACAGTCCTTACGATATTAGATAACTCTGTAATTTATTAAGACGTAAGACATGTTTATGAGAGTTATTACATTAGGCAATTGTGCAGTTATTATTACATAAGGCAAGTGTACTGTATACAAGTAATAACATTAAAGAAGTTTGTGAGAGTTGTTATGACATAAAACAAGTTGTCATTAACCTTTGCTATTCCACAGTAAATGGTGACAGAAGTTTACTTATATAGTGTAATAAGATCTATAAAGTTGACTTTGATTTAATAGCAGTGATACATCAATTTCTGTCATCATCAAAAGGTTAAAACATATATGTTGTTTTCTGATAGGCTATTGTTCTCATACAAAGAACTAAGAGAAAATAATACATTTTCTTGCACTTAGAAGCACCCAGTCATGGTGTATATTCCAGTAGACTTTGTAGTGATGATCCCATTAGATTATGTAAGGATTAACCTACATGTATGTAGTTTTTTTACCAGAAGTCTATGTGGAGTTGATCCCAGCCAAATTGTTTCTAACTTTTTTAGGGAACAAGAGTTCAAGCTACATTTGCTGCAGCACATCCTCGGAATAACAGACGGGTGAGTTTTACAAGCTGTTAACAGTATCTTCTTCAACTTAGTTTATCTACAGATAGCCATTTAAACCGAATAAGTAGCTTGTTACAAGTCCAAAATCTGAATCATTCAGCATAACCAGTGGGGTTTTTTGCTCAGGTTCTCTGTCGTATACAGGCTATTTCCCCTAGCTAAAAAGTGCCTTATTTTCCCAAAATGACTAAAAACTGAGGAATATATTCCCAATTTTAATAGAAATAATGCTATATTTTCCCAATTCATAAAGGAACCAGCTGTTGTAAAATGTAGGTAACAAAAACACTGATATTTTATGGACAACATGCTTTAAACTGTTCCCAATGTAAGTTTGTTGAACTGTCACTTTTATGTATTTTACAGTTCTTCCTGTAGAGGTTCACTTTCATTTGTAGTCTGAAAAGTGTAAAATAAACCCTGGTAAATCTTGTTGCACTTTTGAAAGGGATCATAGATATTTGGACTGTTAGTTTTAACTTTGATATTTCAATTAACAAATCTGTGAAAGTTTGATATCGTGAAATAAAGACACTGTAAAGTAAGCCATTATGAGCATTTAATGAACGATTCCGGAAGTCAATGAGTTGTTCCTGTTAACATCAACTATGTTTCAAAGGGGCAGACACTGTTTTGTTTTTTGCCTTCTAAAGGTGTAGTATTATGATTTCACATTGTCTGTTTACTAACCTTGTGATCAGAATTAGTCTTAGTCTTTTGAGCTAGTGTGAGTGTGATAAAATTTGTATAAAGATCTGCATATATCCAAAAATGGGGTACCCAAATTTCCTCTGGCCCTGACACTAGACTTAGACATTTTGACAGTTAGATGTCTAGTGTGGGGCCAAAGCGCATTTCTTTATGAAAACGCGGATTTCTCCAAGACTGTTTGGTATCGGAGAGTTTTGAGGTGTAGACAACAAAAATCTACAATGCATACCTCGTACACCAGACATCTATCTCAAAATGTCTAAGTCAAGTGTTAGGGCCAGAGGAAACAGGCTAAAAATAGGGATGTTGTGTTTAATTTTATAACAGTTACAGCCATTTTTTATTCTATCTGCACATTTCAACTATTTGAAAAAAATATGGACCAAGTGAGACAATTCCTATTATAAAGTTTGTATATCAAGTAACAAGAAACAAAAAAGCTTTGCCTTGCTACTGGTCAGAGAATAAAAAAAAAATTGACCATTTTTAATACAGCCAAGGAATATCAACTTTCTTGAGTAATAAAAAAAACAATTTCTGTCATAACATTTCAATATTTTGGTACTTTCAATAAATTCCTTCAAATTCTGTTTGAAAGGGCTATTAATGAAACCTTGCAGTGTTGATCAGTTAACTCATGGCTTTAATTGTCTGTGACCTCTGTATTCTGTAAATTTCATCATCTTTGGTAAACCGTTTCCCCTTTGGGAGGGGGTAAAGTTTATTACAGTTTATATTAGGAAGTAACAATTTTTGGTATATTTTTTATAACTTCAGTGGGAAATGATTCAACCTTGCTTGGAATTATCATTATGTTGTAACAGTTTGATGGTAGGAAAGTTTAGTTCATGACTCATTTCTATAGGACCTGAGGAGTGGGGCCTTAATGAGTCAAATGTGCTAAAATTCAACAATTTTCTACAGACCCATATATGCTTGAGTCAAATTATCTTCATAAAAGTCCTTTATTAAAATTATTCCTGCAAATTCCTCAAATATTGTTTTGATTCATGTATATGCTAATTGTATTGATTGTATAAATTGTATATCTATGTACTGTAAAGTGCTTTAGAGTGGCTTATGTAAGCTAGATAGGGCGCTATATCAAATGGTGTATATTATTATTATTATTATTTTGCTTACAATGAGTGGGAAATTGTTTAAACCGCATTGGAATTATAATCATGTGATGCCAGTTTGTCGGTACATACCAAAACAAAAAGAGGTAAAATTAATTGAACGAAAAATGTCAAGGATTATATAGCCTAGGGCATGCAGTAAGTGGCATCCTGGAGATTTTGAGATATTCTTTGGCTCTGAAGGGGAATAACTCCTGCAAATAATGTTTATAAGGGTTATGTCCCTTACCTCACGGTTATCTTCTATTAAGTCGTGCCAGACATTAGAGCCAGTCCCTCAAAAGATTTATTTCATGTTAAATTACAAGAGTAAAAAGAACAGATAAGAAATAATTAAGACCACTGGGAAGTAAATGAGGAACAATATATAATGCAATGATCCTGCTGTTAATCTTATTTTTATGTCTTCTTTTAGGCTGGAGACACATTCCTTACAGTAGAACATCAAAACACGGCTAATGAATGGCAGGTGGTTTACAAGGACAGTCAATGGTGCACCCAGTAAGTAGTGACAATGTCGAATTTCATGTCAAATATAGTGAACTGATGGATGTTCAGTTGGGATTAAGAAAGAACCTAGTATCAGTTGATCTGTATTTGCACTTGACATGTTTATTAATAACAAAACTTATAAATAATAGAGACATCCCTGATGCTGCTTTCCTGATAATATCATCTTGATGGCTTTTGACGGGGTCAGTAGGCAGTTTTAAATGGTATAAATGGAATGTTCAGGGACAGTCCTACAATGGCGTTAAAGATATCAATGTACATTTTTTCCCCTTCAGATTCCACTGGAAACGGACTAGCACACTACTTGGTGAGAGTGAGGCCACCATTGTATGGGACATCCCAGCTGATCAGGCTCCTGGGGTCTATAGAATACAATACTTTGGAGATTCCAAAAGTGTCTTCGGGAATATTTCCCCTTTCTCTGGAAAAACCCCAAACTTCCAGGTTACAGCTTGATACTATGATCTTTCTTCACAATGAACAGTTCAGATACCATGTCATGTAATTGTTTCCAACATGTATAGTGATATTTGTAAGTATTTGGTGTATTTATGATTATGTTTTGAATATTTAATTAATTTGATTAAAATAATGTGATAAGAGAATAAGTTCCTCTGATTTGGACTGTGATATCGAGGACAATGACCATGGTTAGTTAGCATAAGATGATCAGCAGTAATGATGGACAGTTACTTATATACAAACAGTGCTATTTGTTGGATCCCAGAGGAAATATAATACACAAGTATGATATCGGCTTTCTCATAAAACAACTTTGGGGTGATAACTAGATTATATATGTTAACTTTGAGTGTGATAACTGTCTCTCTCCTACATTGTATGTTACATGTAACTTTGGGGTGATAACAGTCTCTCTCCTGCATTGTATGTTAACTTTGGGGTGATAACAGTCTCTCTCCTACATTGTATGTTACATGTAACTTTGGGGTGATAACATTCTTTCTCCTACATTGTATGTTAACTTTGAGGGTGATAACGGTCTCTCTCCTACATTGTATGTTACCTGTAACTTTGGGGTGAAAATGGTCTCTCTCCTACAGTGTATGTCACATGTAACTTTGGGGTGATAACATTCTTTCTCCTACATTGTATGTTAACTTTGAGGGTGATAACAGTCTCTCTCCTACATTGTTTGTTGCATGTAACTTTGAGGGTGATAACAGTCTCTCTCCTACATTGTATGTTAACTTTGAGGGTGATAACAGTCTCTCTCCTACATTGTATGTTAACTTTGAGAGTGATAACGGTCTCTCTCCTACATTGTATGTTAACGTTGGGGTGATAACAGTCTCTCTCCTACAGTGTATGTTACATGTAACTTTGGGGTGATAATAGGCTTTCTGTTTTGTTGACTTTGGGGTGATAACTGTTTTCTTCTGTTTGACAAACAATGCTAGTGTGATGACAAGACCTTTGCTACAGAATTTAATTTGGTAAAATGCGAAACAGTGATGATGATACAGCTGGTAGAAATAAATTAATGTGAGCCAATTAATTTATGTGCCAAAGAATTATTATAATGAATCATTTTTATATGTGAGAAACATTCCAACATATGAATGTACTATATGATTTTAATAATTTTGTATGTAAAACTGTCAATAAAAATAACAAAAAAATTGTTTGTCTTATGTTTCTCCTTAGGGTGACTTAAGAATTAACCATGTATCTATCAGGATTATATCCTTTATGTTATTGCAGTAGGATGGGAATACGGTGTTATTAGTGTCTGTCCTGGCCTGTATTTACCGCCATCGTTCTAGTTCTAGGGATTTAGAAATAGTTGTTATATTCGTAATCTGGAATGAATTTCACGCAAATATGAAATTCACTTGCATTTGACAACTGGTATTCCTTCTTTGCGTATTGCAGAGTTATCTTCTCTTGGGAGCAGGTATTGATTGTTACGTCATTGGTTTGTGTGAGAAAATTACGTCGTTTTCTCAAAAATTGATGACGTTACTCTCACAAACAAGTGACGTAACAATCAATACCTGCTCCCAATAGGAGATAAGGCATACTGAAGAGAGGTATAAACCCGTATTTTGCATAATAGAATCCGTGAATATTGTCTATTTGTAGCTATTTACGTTGAAAATTGTCCATTTGAAGCAAATTTACGGAACACTCTTCAAGTTTTGAAAGCCTCCATATGCACCAACCAAATAAATATTTGATATGCTTAAACATTGTCATATTTTTGATGTCGCATGTGGAGGCTGCCATCCTGCATGCTAACTGTCAACACCATATATTGGCTAGTTCTACATAGCAATTCAATGTTGTTAAAGGCAAGCCTTTTCAATATAACCCATATAAAGATATGTAACGAAATAGCTTACCTGGAGAAAATAAACTTTACCTAACGACCGTAAGTTTTAGAAAATAAAACCGGATACACTCATTCTCTACTAGGGAGGCATACTAGGGAATGAGTGATTTAAAATAATTAACATTGTTATAAGAAATGTAAATCATCATCACCATCATCATCATCATCATCATCATCATCATCATCAGTTTTTACACGTGAAAACAACTTCATCGCACACATACAGAATCGTCGGGGATGTACTGTCACTTTGCAGTATACTTGTTTGTAGCATAAATGTATAGTGGCATTATTTTATAAGTGAAATAAATAGTATAAGTAAAAACTGCAATAGTTTGTATAATTAGTCTACGAATACTATGTATTAGAAAAACATTAATTAATAATAAAAAGCTATAAATACAAAAATGAAAAGGACTACATTGTTAGTATTATTGAACTAAGAATTAAGAAATTCATGCATCGAACTATACACCAATTATTTCGGCAACGTATCTACTGTGCAAAAGAGGGCGACAGGAATATCATGAGATAAGAAACATTTTCGAGCTCGGGAGGTTGAATGACATTAGGTCATAGGTCATGCAAAGGCAGTGACAGACACCAACCTGACGATTATTGCGTCAGGAATGGACCTGCCGTTTCCCTCTTTATCATGCGGCGACTGATATAGCCGCTTCCGTAGAATCGATGTCATTACCCTCACCTACACTTACAGAGACCGTGGAGACCATCTTACACATCACGTTCATTAGCACTGACAGCAGCCAAACAGCCTGACGCTTTAGATTATAATACATAACTAAGGAATAGAGACACAACTCATCCTAATATGATTGTAGCGGCAGATATAATCACATTAATCTGATATGTTGACAATATATGCACTATTTGGGATAATTAGCCAGTACTCTACGGCTCAGGTGCACTCTTGTGCTTTATAACAAGATGTCTGGACTAATCAGATGTAAAGGAAGCACTCGGCTCCACCTACACTCGTCCACTGGTGATGTCTTCCCTCTCCAATACACTCCAACCAATGTGACGGGCTAAACAAGTATAAATAGTATTACCGTATTTTACCGCGAATAAGTACCCCCCCCCCCCCCATGAGAAAAATGTTGGGAGGGGGCTTAATTGCAAGTGTAACAGGAGCGAGACGGGCCCAGTTTATTATGAACAAACTACCCCCGGCTCGCTACCTTTTCCTCGCAACCCAGGTTCGAATTGGGTAGCTTGTTTCTGCTGGTGAAGGTAATACCTCAACTCCGGGATGTGATACAATAACAGTATTTATTAACAGAGATACACGAAGCAATGAAACATGAACAGGCCTAGATGAGAACACGTAAAACCCCTAACAAGTTGCCGAGCCGACCCCCCAACCCTACATAGTACTAGGCTACTAGGCTAACATCCACCCGACATTCCCAACCTTATCTATCTATACATGAACTATCTTTAATCTGCTATTCTAACATCACCGTACCTACTATCCCCTACAGAAGTCTATGGCAGTCGTAGCAGGAAATCAATCCTTCACTCTGCGCCAAAACCGAAAGTAACACCCCCTATATAACAACATTCACAATTCTAAACTCTCGACCAATGAAAACATAGTGCTGTCGCAGACACAGGCACAGACAGAAAAGCATGAAATCACAGACAGGTAAACTGACAACACTTAGCACTGGACTGGTACACGTGGACAGGACACCACAACAGACAGAGGTCGGGTGACTCCAGTGCACCCTGGCCTCCATGTAGTACAGTAACTACACTACATGACCCCTGTCTGACACATAGAACACATNATGTCCGCCATCTTGGATCTATGACTACACTAAATATCATGTACTTATCCACTGTAGTTGTTCATGTTGTAATAATAACAACTGGAGAGATAGCGCATGCGTGGACCTGAAAAAGACGATCTTCTTTAGGCTCTGACATTTTTGTGAAAATTGGCTCTACAAACATCGTTACCACCCTAAATCTTAAATATTATTACATACTTACTCGATGTACATAGATATTAATCAACAAATAACAAAAATTCACCTTAAAATTCGATTTCGCTCTATGAAATATATTTTGACAAATACCGCCAAATATCATGTGACCAAATAATAAACCGGAAGTAAACAAACATCTCTGTCAGAAACTTTACTTTGCTGTTTATTTATCAGGCGTTTCATATAACCTGTACTCCTGAGTTGCCCAGGAGTCGAAGACTAACACGTTTACACTCTACTAACAGCTGATGTACCCTCTTTCCACACTTCTGATCTCGAGCACAGGTATTTATTTGTAGTAAAGCATTAATTACACAAACCTACAAGGTGCCAAACACGATCAACCATGGTACTGAAATACTGTATTATTATACTACCTGTCTTATTCTCACTATTTAATATTCTTGGTGCTAAGACAATATGCAACATAACACCACAAACAGGACCAACTGCTTATAATATATTATTACAAGTTCCATCTAACCACTATCCCATCATAAGTGTATTTGCACTCCAGAAAAGTAGCTGGGGTAAGCCAAATTCATCCCAGATATTGCAAGCATTGAAATCAAAAGATCCTCAACATGTGCGTCATACTTATTCATCTTGCTGATTGCAAATGCCTTTGACACAGAACAAACCCTGGTCCCAGGACCCAAAGATGGCCATGTGGAATATTGTCAAAAGGCTGTTACATACAAGATACAAGTACAAGAATTTTAGAGTCGTATATGTTGTAATGGAAACATTAGCTCTGTAGAGCTATTATTACGACAAACAAAGGTATAAAAACAGGATTTAAAAGACAACATGCAGAAAACAAACAGGCATATAGCAAGATTTATACAATACACAGACAAGAAAAAATTATTAAATCACAGCATGCAGTAATTAAAAACAACTTGGCACGTACAGAACAAAGTATATAAAAAAATCTATATTAAAATTGATGCTGCACAAAAGATTCATACCACATGCTCACAGACTGAGAAACCATGGTTCAGTATATACATAAATGCCAATATGGCACGAGTTAAAAATTGACCGAATATATGTTAATATAGCATAAATTAAAAGATGATTTGACAAGCATTGAGTAAGTCATACAATGCGTAAATAAGAGCACTAATAAAAAAATGAAAGGAAGTAAAACGTAGAAGCATGGTATCACAAGACATGGTAAAAACTAAGTATAGAAATGATCAAAAAAAAGGTTGGAAAACAAACAATGACTAGTTATATATGGCACAGGAACACAACTGGATGTCCCACGTGTGCAGCAGTCTGCGAAAGCTCTGGATTTTTTTTACTTTCCTCAGTTCATTCGGCAAACTGTTCCACACTTGGGCAGCCTCAAAGCGAAAAGACTTTTTTCCATACTTTGTTGTGTTAACTCTAGGTACCTGAATGGTGTTCTCTTGCCGGAAATTATGTTCAACATTATTTTTAACAATCAAATCAATTAAAAATTCTGGAGCTAACCCATTTAAAATTTTAAAGACTTCTGTAGCCATAGTCTTCATTCTAACAACGTGTAAAAATGTGAGGTTGTTTCTGCGTAAAATATCTATCACAGGTGAGGTAAAA